AGCAGGCCCTTTTCCCCCTTGGCCTGATCGATTCTAGAACTTTACCCACTTCCTCCGTGCACATCTTTCCGCTGTGTACAGGTTTGCAAGGTTGGCTTGCAGGCTGCCTATTCTTCTGTGCTGGTCATAAGCAGCTGCATTCAAAATTGACACTGTCTTTGGCAAGTAGCCATTTTTTTCCTGGAGAAACGTAGCAAGTTTGCTTCCTCGGGTCAATGGAGCCCTTTGGCATTAAGGAAAATGGAAGAGGGCGATATATGGGACCATGAGGGTGTGGCAGAAACACTCAGCCTTTCAGATGAAAAACGCTAGTGCTAATAACACCACCCAATACAGCTTGAGTTGGGGTCATCAGAGAACCGATGGACACATCTCTTCTGACAGTTGGATAAATTCATATTTTCTTGAACATCTCACGTCTGCATATTTCCACCCGCAATGCATCAGGCTTTCCGTTTTGCATTTTTCTGTTCTTGGTCTTGCAGCAGTTTTAAGACTCAAGGCACTTTTGGAGACCTCATCGTTGTCATCTAGTTGTTTAGTTGGGTCCAACTCTTTGTGACCCCATGGACCAGAGCACGCCAGGCCCTCCTGTCTTCCACTGCTTCCCAGTGTTGGGTCAAGGTCATGTTGGTTCTTCGACGACACTGTCCATCCATCTCGTCCTCTGTCGTCCCCTTCTCCTCTTGCCTTCACACTTTCCCAACATCAAGGTCTTTTCCAAGGAGTCTTTTCTTGGAGACCTCAGTGGTTCCCAACCTAGGCTCCCCAGATAGACTACACCTCCCAAAAAAGCTGGCTTCTGAGACTTTTAGTCCAAAAACATGTGGAGATCCAACGTTGAGAACAACTGAGGTCTCCGAAAGTGCCTTGAGTCTTAAAACTGTTGCAAGACCAAGAAGAGGAAGATGCAGAACAGAGAGCCTGATGCATTGCGGTCTCTAAATAATTTCCTTTGAAGAAAGAAAAAGTTGCAGATGGGATTATAATGTCTCAGTGGTGGTTTTGAATCTCAGAGTGTTGTACAGCCATCAAAGGGGGGAAAGTCTGCTTTTGTGACAGCCGAAGAGAAAATAGCATGGAAAAGAGCTTAGAAAAATTCATTTTGGGGGCCATAATTCTTCGAATATGCTGGAGGAGACTTTTGAGAGTCCCCTGGACTTCAAGGAGAACAAACCTATCCATTCTGAAGGAAATCAACCCTGAGTGCTCCCTGGAAGGGCAGATCCTGAAACAGAGGCTCCAATACTCTCCCCAGAAAAGACCCTGATGTTGGGAAAGTGTGAAGGCAAGAGGAGAAGGGGACAACAGAGGACAAGATGGTTGGACAGGGTCATCGAAGCTACCAACATGACCTTGACCCAACTCTGGGAAGCAGTGGAAAACAGGAGGGCCTGGTGTGCTCTGGTCCATGGGGTCACAAAGAGTCGGACACAACTTAACGACTAAACAAAAACAATGAATTCTTGGACTTCCCAACCACCATGTTAATGGGTCATATGAACTCAGGGGTTCGGGAACTCTTGATCCATAAAATAACTTCTGAGAGCTCCCAGAATATGTACCCACCATCCACTCTCTTCCTCGTTCATTTGTGTGTTATGGACTTTTTTTGGGGGGGGGGCAGTTGCATCAACCACACCAATCCAGGATCTGCTTAGCCTTGTATAGCTTCTGCAAGGAAAATGTGCTAGTGAATCCAAAGAAACAATCAATAAGATATCTTTTATTTTTATTTTATTCCCATACCCTCACTGCTTTCCAAGATTCTGGGTGATTAGAATATGAAAATGATAAGCACAGTGGTGCAGATGTTTTTAAAATCACAGCAGACAGCAATTAGCAACATGGGAACCAGCTGCTTATCTACCGAGATAAAGCCTCTTAATAAGGTATTACACTTGAGTCATTTTTGCAGATGGATTGTCTAGTGCTTGAAAGAGAGTGTCATTGAGGTATTAACTTTGGTTTGTGAGCTACTTTGTTATCAAGCGATCTAAATGGTGCCTCCTTAGGAAGGTGGATTTTGAAATTAGGAAGTGGGGTTGTATTCAAATTAAGAGCCGGTTTGCCCCTTCCTTTAAGAAACAACCTTTCCTTGGTGATCTCTTACTTTCTTGCTTGATCATCAGATTATGGAGTAACCGCTTTGGTTGGCATCTCTCCATGAAACAGCTGTCAGAGTTGCTTAAACAGAGAGAAAGCCTTTGAGTGGAAATTGATTAAACATATTTTTTAAAAGTGTGAGACAAAAAGCTAATTAAAAGGTCATCCTAGACCCTAAATTATCTTAGGTTCACAAATGAAGGAACCTTAAACAAGCCTAGAATCATGTCTGGTCAACATTTATTTTACTCAACAATTCAAGAAAGCTGCCTTTCGGGGTGGATTTGGTCTAAATTGCATCGATTTAAATCACGATATAAACTTTGAAAATTTGATATTTTTGCAATTTAAATGATTTTTTTAAAAATTTAAATCAATTTGCTTTTTTTAAAAAAAAAAAACCACCTATTTTTATCCACCCTACTACTGCTTTCTTCCAGACATGAAGGTCATCCCCATCAGTCTGGTGCAAATGAAAGGCAGTTTTCTTCTCCTTCTGCTGAGAAGAGAAACCTTTTTGAATGTCCAGCTGGCCCAACAAACAGCATTGCCTTAAACTGAAATAAAAATGCAACTGACTTGCTCCTTCGTAGGGTGGCTTTATCAAATGGTGAGTGCATGTCAATGGACACACTTTGCCCATCCATGTTGATAGGTCTTGGTATCCAGTTGACATCTCATCTGATGAAATCCTGTTCCATGTTTTCCTTTTAGCTAGTTGTTGTCCTATATTTGTGACTGACAGCTAGTCATTTGTATATGTGAGTTGTGCCTTTGCAGTGAAACTCCCCTTTTACAACCACTCAGCTTATGAACGTCTCCACTTGTGAACAATTTGAGTTACAAATTCAATGGTACCTCAACTTACGAACGTCTCCACTTGCGAACAATTTGAGTTACGAACAGCTCCGTTCGCAAAAAGTTGCTTCTACTTGCGAACGGAGCCTCGACTTACGAACCAAAAAAAAGGGAAAAAAAGAAAAGGAAAAACCTTTCCTGCCCATTTTTTGACCTAGGGGGGAAAGAAAAGGAAAGGAAAAACCTTTCCTGCCCTTTTTTTGACCTAAGTTCATCTTAGGTCAAAAGAAAAACAAAATTTTAAAAAAACCCCCCCCCCCCAGTGGTAGAGTACGGATTAACCGGCTTTGCATTAGTTCCTATGGGCACTAATGCCTCTACCTACAAACAACTCCTCGACATACGAACGAAAAACAGCAGATACGGATTAAATGGTTTTCAATGCATTCCTATGGAAATGTTTGCCTCAACTTAATCCAATACGGATTAAGTTCGTAAATCGAGGTACCACCGTACCCGGAGCAGACTGACCTTGGCAAAGTTAGTTTTTCAGTCTGCAGCAGCCACCAGTGTGGCTAGTGGCCAAATAGTCCAGAGAAGTATATTTTCCCCCATGCCCCAAATCTCACACTGTGAGAACTTTGTGAGTACTAGTTTTCTTCCCTTGTCTAAATAATACGTGAGTTGGTCTGCTCTACATAGTTATGACACTTTAATTCCTCTTTAACTGGTATGGCTTCATCCTGAGATTGGTAGCTTAATGAAGCATTTAGAATCCTAGTGGACTGTCATTAATTGTAGCACTGAAAGTATCTGAACAAATAGTTGTAGGTATTAGATCAAAATATGCCACCTGGGATTTCCTAGGACAGAGTTGTGGCAATTAAAGCAGTATTAAATTATTGCTAATGGTGTGGTGGAGATATATTCTTTATCCCCACAGAATGGATAGATGTTACATATCTAGAAAGCAGGGTGTTTTTTTTTTGTGGTGGTATTCTCTATGACATGGAGTGTAGTAGCGTGGTGGAGATATATTCTTTATCCCTACAGAATGGATAGATGTTACGTATCTAGAAAGCAGGGTTTTTTTGTGATGGTATTCTCTATGACATGGAGTGTAGTAGAATCTTTGAGAAGCTGTGGGAGATTATGGTGATCAGATTAAACAGAGTAGTGCTCTGAAATCATTCATTGCTCCCCCAAAAAGGGGGAAAAAAATCTGTGAGAAGAAGATGGTGAAATTCCTTTACCTAAAGACCCCCTGAACAATCCATAAGTGGGGAACTTTCTTGGAAATGCTCCCCTACAGAAGGAGCTAGTGTTGGCCTGATGTGGTCGTGTGAACTCAGTCTAGATGCTTTGGAGTGGTACAGTGGAATCTCGACTTACGAATGTCTCAACTTATGAACATTTTGACTTACGAACTGCTCCGCTTGCAAAATTTTGCTTCGTCTTACGAACAGAAAAACCGTGTTCTGTTTAAAAGGTGTTCTCCTGCTAAAAGGTGCTTGGTTTTTGTTTAAAAGGAGCTTGGGTTAAAAAGTCTTGTGTTTAGAAGGTGTTCCCCCCCTCCCTCCTTTCCTGTCCTTTTTTTGACCTAAGTTCATCTTAGGTCAAAAGACGAAGAAAAATTCACCCCCTAGTGGTAGAGGACGGTTTAACCGGCTTTGCATTAGTTCCTATGGGAACTAATGCCTCTACTTTCAAATGGCACCTCTACATAAGAACCAAAAACAGCCAGAACGGATTAAATGGTTCTCAGTGGATTCCTATGGGGAATTTTGCTTCGACTTACGAATCTCTCGACGTATGAACACCATTCCAATACGGATTAAGTTCGTAAGTCAAGGTTCCACTGTAATGGAGTGGCGGTGGTGTTTTGTTTTTCGTTTTTAATTTTATTTTCAATGTTGCTTGCAATGCCACCTCTTTTGCTTAAAAAGCAAAACACCTACATGGCAATTTTGATTTAAAGAACATTTTAAGATGTCCCATATTCTTCGACTATGAGGGAATGGGGAATCTTTCTGGTGTTTTGTGGGTTCCGAATAAACAACCGCCCCTCCCATTTTTTGCCTTTCTCTCTCTTCCAGGTTTACGACAGGCTGCCGAAACATTCTGCTGTCCACTACGATCCGGGCCTGCAACAGGACTTCACTAGTGACACCTTAAAACCACGACAGCAGCAAAAAAGCAACAGCCAGCATCATCTCGATTGGTCAATGAGCTCTGAATCTGGACCGGCTTCCCCAGCTTGCTTCATTGCACCCGAGCCAAACCGGGAAGCTGCTAGTTCCACCAAGATCAGCGTTTCAGAGCCTGCTGTATCTTTCAGCAAGTCCCAAGCTAAGAAATCTAACACCAGCAACACATGGGGTCAGTTGTCCAGCAGTAATAACAAAGACCTTGCTGTGTGTAATGCAACCTCTGGGTCAAATCCTTTGGGTGTAACTTCCCAACCGAACAGTCTCTCTGATTGCAATGGATTTTTGCCACTAGGGAGCCAAGAGGGAGGGGGTCAGATGGAAGCCCTTGATCAACCCATGGGCAGTACAAAGAAAAAGTCCAGTAAAAAAGATATAATCAACCAAACTCTCCAAAACACAGATATAGAGTGGGTTAAAAATGTTCAGAAGTCGTTTGAAGCTAAAACCCATGACAGTATAGAAGGGAAAAACGAGCCCAGTGTGAGCAAACTGTCGCCCACCAGGCAAAACCCAAACCCTGCCAATGGCTCCGAAAACGATACCAGTCGTGTGCGAATTACGATCCCAATCAAGACTCCAACAGTGGAGCTGCCTGGACATAAACGGAAGAAACGACAGTCTGCAAAAAATGCTGTGGACAAGAATGTCCTGGAGAAAACCCCACCTTCTGGACATCTGGTGAGCAGCGATGTAGCCAGCCGGGCAAATGCACCTGCAGAGCTCTCCAAGAAAGACCTGCGAGTCACAAAGCAAGGGAAAGCTACCGAGATCGAGTCTCCATTAGTACCAGTGGAAAACAATGAGGTAGTCAATAGATCGCCTGCGGTCAATGCCACCAGGCTTAGGAAGTCCACAGGCTTAACCTCGGCTGCAATGACAAATGATATCCCCACAGCTAGCAAGCAAGTAGAGGTTCAGCATCCAAAGTTTGCCGCAAAACGAAGGCTGACCTGTAGCAAACCGAAAAGCATGCTCCGGGAACCTTCTGTGGGTCCCTCTGAGAAAGTGATGGTGGAACCTCCGTCAGCTTATCCCATAACTCCATCTAGTCCTCTGTATACCAATACAGACAGCCTGACTGTGATTACTCCCATCAAGAAGAAGAGGGGGCGGCCAAAGAAACAGCCTTTGCTCACTGTCGAAACCATCCACGAAGGGACCTCCACCAGCCCAGTCAGTCCCATTGGGAGGGAGTTCCCGGGTACCAAAAAAAGGAAGAGGCGAAGGAATTTGGTGAACCTGGCCCAGATGGCTCCAGGGGAAGATCATTCTGTCAGCGAGCTGAAATTTCACAAGAAGGTGGGCAAGCTCGGTGTGTTGGACAAGAAGACGATCAAGACCATCAACAAAATGAAGACGCTCAAGAGGAAGAACCTTCTGAGCCAGATCTTGTCCTGCTCGAGTAATATAGCTTTGAAAACTAAAACACAGCCGCCAGCCAGCACGGGAGCCCCGACGATCGATGCCAGGTTAGGGAAGCAAATCAACGTGAGCAAGCGGGGGACTATCTACATTGGCAAGAAAAGGGGAAGGAAGCCGAGATCTGAGGTGCAGCCCCCGTCGGAAGAACCGAAGACAGCCATCAAACATTTAAGGCCTGTACCCAACCAGCCAGAAAACCCAGCAGTGCCTTCCACTTTGCAGTCCCTGGCGGCGTCATCACCAGCAGCTGTTCACCCGCTTTCGGCCCACTTAGTGGGGTCGAACGGCAACCTCAGCCCTGCCAGCACCGAAACAAACTTCTCGGAGTTAAAGAGTATGCCAAATCTACAGCCTATCAGTGCTCTTCCCACCAAAACCCAGAAGGGAATACACAGTGGGACATGGAAACTGTCCCCACCCAGACTCATGGCGAATTCTCCTTCTCACCTTTGCGACATAGGCTCCCTGAAGGAAGTCACCTTGTCACCGGTGAGCGAATCCCACAGCGAGGAGACCATACCCAGCGACAGCGGGATAGGGACAGACAACAACAGCACTTCCGACCAAACAGAGAAGGCGTCGGAATCTCGCAGGCGATACTCGTTTGATTTCTGCAGCCTGGACAATCCGGAGGCCATTCAGTCAGACACCAGCACTAAAAATAGGCATAGCCACCGGCAGAAGCATCTCATTGTTGACAACTTTCTCTCCCACGAGACCATGAAGAAACCAAAGCACAAGAGAAAGCGGAAAAACCTGCAGAACAGAGATGACCTCCAATTCCTGGCGGACCTGGAAGAGCTTATCAGCAAGTTCCAACTGTTCAGGATCTCTCACAGGAGCTACACGTTTTACCACGAAAATCCGTATCCCAGCATTTTCCGGATTAACTTCGATCACTATTACCCAGTGCCATATATCCAGTATGACCCATTGCTGTATCTGCGCAGGACCTCTGACATGAAGTCGAAGAAGAAGCGTGGCAGGCCTGCCAAAACCAATGACACCATGACAAAGGTGCCTTTCTTACAAGGGTTCGGTTACCCTATTCCCAGCGGGAGTTACTATGCACCCTATGGAATGCCTTACACATCAATGCCTATGATGAATCTTGGTTACTACAGTCAGTACCCAGCACCGCTGTATCTGTCCCATACGCTTGGAGCGGCATCTCCCTTTATGCGGCCTTCAGTGCCCCCTCCCCCGTTCCACGCAAACTCTCACATGAAAATGCCCAATACTGCCAAGCATAAAGTGAAGCATGGCGTTCACCTTCAGACCCCCGTCGGGGTGGGCCTCGGCGATGTTCATTCTTCCCTGACGTCTCCAAAGGTTACTGGGACAAGCATGCCCAGTGGCCGACTCCACAAAAGGAAACACAAACATAAGCACAAACACAAGGACGAGAGGATACTGGCGGCTCACGACGACTTGAGCAGTCTGTTTGCTAACAAGTCCGCAAGCTTCTCCGGCCATTCGGTGAGCGAAAGATTAAACGTCTCGGACAAAGACCTCTCCTTGATGACGGAGAAGAGCAAGCATAAAGAGAAACAGAAGCACCAGCATAGCGAAGTGGGGCACAAAAGTTCCAAGAACAGCTTTGAAGTGGATACTCTGTCTACGTTGTCGCTCTCAGACCCCCAGCAGTGGGTTCAGAGCAAGGATAAAAATGACTCGGGCCATGTTCTCGTGGACTCTTGCTTAAAGAGGTACTCGGGGAATGCCGAGAGCAGTGTGAGTGTGAGGTCTGAATCCCTGGACGTGTTTGGTGAGATGAATTCTGCCAGTGAAAAACGGGACAATGACGGGAGCGGGAGCAAAAGGCGGAGTTTTGAAGGATTCGGGACTTACAGGGAAAAGGACCTTCAGACCTTCAGAACAGGCAGAAAGGAGAAGAGTTCCTACGATGCCTCGGCTGTGTCAGGTAGGCATCTTAAAGTCTCTCACTGCAGTTTTCCCACTTTGATTTCCCACTGTGCGTTTCAATATTTATTTTTTAATTCGCTATTTAAAACAACGGCTTGCAGCTCAGCAGCCAAAGGGAAAAAGATGGGGATGCAGGAGGAAAACAAGCAAAAACAGATAGAAATTCTTTTTCATCTTTTTGAAAACATCAGTAAGAATAAAAGAGGCATTTGAGCCATAGTTCCAAGGCCATGAAACTTTGCTACTGTTTCCTTTGTGTGGAAAGTAAAGGGATTTTGGGGATGAGCACCTCAGGGTTCAATATATTCGCAAAGGCTTTCACGGCCAGGATCTAGTGGTTGTTGTGGGTTTTTCGGGCTCTTTGGCCATGTTCTGAAGGTTGTTCTTCCTGGCGTTTCACCAGTCTCTGTGGCCGGCCTCTTCAGAGGACAGGAGTCTGAACTCTGTCTGTGTTCTGGTGTAGTGTGTGGGATAGTTGAGAACACAGACAGAGTTCTGACTCATGTCCTCTGAAGAGGCTGGCTGCAGAGACGGGCGAAACGTTGAAAGAAAAAACCTCTAGAACACGGCCGAACAGCCCGAAAAACCTACGACAACTAACTTTATTTCATTTGAATGTGTCCATAAGTCTGAATTCAGATACTAGAGTGGACCTGTTGAATCTGTGGGATTGATGTCAGTGCTTACTTCATAATGTCTTGGAAATGAACCGAAACAGAGTGATCCTACCCACATCTTAAACAAAGAGTAGACCCCAGTGGGGACCCAGAAAGGTGCAGGTAGGAACACTCTGGGGATGAGCTGGTTTGCTCCAGCGTGGTCAGATCACTGTCAAAGGGAGTGAACCAACCTGCCCGACAGCTGAACAAACAGTGGACCGCATGCCTGTTCGGTCACCCCCAAAGTCTCTTTCATGCAGAGATTCACTGGGAAGGACATACATGGCCATCAAAGAACAGAACGAAAAAGTAGTGAGTTAATGGATCCATGGACATGATCTTGCTTTATTTAGACCAGTATTTTTGTCATTACAGCATCAACGTTGCTTTGTTGAGACCAGTGTTTTTTGCCCCTGTGCAACTTAAGAACAGAGAATGGCCCGGTAGATTGCCAAAGCGTTAAAGTACTCCAGTGGATTGTGGGACGTTTTAAAGGTCCCCCTTGTTTATTCTGGCAAATTACTTTATTCGAGGCGGAAAGTCTGGAGAGTCACTTGATACGATCCTTTGAGCCACATATGGTCACATGGAAAAGCAGTTGTGTGGCGGTTTCTGTGCTGCTTGAACTTTTCAACATGGGAAAGTGTTTTGATCAGTATACTCCAGACCAATTCCCAGAAGTCTTGGAGTGGCAAAGCAACCAGCCAGACCACATTGAAAAGTCATGATTTATTTACACTGTGATCCTAAGATCTTTTACTGTTAACTGCTGATCATCATCACATCAGTGGACCTTGGTTGGAAGGGAAAGTGTTTATTCTTGGGAGAAAATAAACATACAAACTTTAGCGCTGTTAGCAATGCACTTTGTAGAGCGGCTATTC